GTACGACGTACCAGGTGCTCTGGGCATGGGCTCACAGCCCCACAGCTAGAACAGGGCTGCCTCTGGGACAAGAACGTCCACCTCCACCAAAGGCCAGCTGTGGGATCAGGGCAAGTACAACCACCAGCCTGGGCCTCAGGCTCCACATCTCTAAAATGGGTCTACTAGTCATACCTCCTTTTAATCTGACGATGTCTACGATTGGCCCAGCGTTAGGTGAAAGGACAATGCCTGGTGACCTTGTGGCCATCACGCAATCTAGCTGCTGTTCTTAAGTGGGGCGGTGTCATCCCTGCAGGCCATCTTGGCTGTCTCAGGAATGGACCTCAGGGGCCAGGCTGGGCTTGAGCGCCCCGCAAGCAGCCTGGCACGCAGCCCCAGTCAGCTGGGCTCACTGACGGGCAGCTTCCAGTCCTTCCATTTATTTAGACTTGTCAATAGATGCCGGATGGGTGTTTGTGGCGTCTCCATGCAGCTAAAGGTCACATGCACGGCATCTTCCAGTCCTAACTGAATGGCTGCCCGAGGCAGTTGCACGGGGGCAATGCCTCAGTGGGTCTGCGCTGGGCAGCCGGTCCCTCTCCAGACACACAGGCCTCTTTTCTGGGTCTCTCCACATCAGAGGACCGGCAGCCAGGCTCCCCAGGCCCTGCAGGAAGTGGGCAGGCGGAGTCAGGACCCGGAACAAACTCCAGGAACAGAAGTGGAGTTTTTCACTTGTCTCGGTCTAGACTCTTTTGGTTATAAGGGACAGAAATGCAGATCAGATTAGCTTAGTTCAGTTCAGTTCAACAGATCGTGGTTGCGGCTGTATGTCAGGCACGGTGCTGGTGCCCACGGTTCATCTGCGAATGAAGCCCTGCCCTGGGAGGCCGGGTGCGGGGCGGCGAGGATAAGAAACCACTTGGCGTGTCGGTGGGTGCCACGTGCCATGGAGAGGAGAGGGAAGCAGAGGCAGGGGGTGGTCTCGGGGTGCCGGGGGCGGGGCAGACTGCAGACTGACACGGGGGCCAGGGTGAGCCTCTCAGAGAAGGTGAGATTTGAGCAAAGGTTTGAAGGAGCTGAGATGTCAGCCCGGTGGAAACCTGGGGGAAGGGAATTCCAGGCAGAGGGGTCAGCCAGAGCGAAGGCCCAGAGTCAGGATGAGTGGGCGTGGGGCATTGTCCCGACTTTGGCTTTTACTGTGATTGAGATGGGAGCCACTGCAGGTTTGGAGAAAAGGAAGAATGTGATTTGGCTGATTTTTTTTTTTTTAAGCAAAAAAGAAAACTCCTAGATTTCCAGGCCCGGGTGAGTCAGAGGCGGGGGCCTCATCCTCTCCCCCTGGCTTCAGGCTCCCTTCGCGTGGGGAGGGGCCGGCTGCACGCGGCCTCAGGCCAACACCATCCCCCGGCTGGACCCCAGAGCCAAGAGGGTCTCTCTATTAGCGTCCTGCACTCCCAGGGAAGATGCCAGGGGCTCCGATTGGCTGGCCTGGGTCACAAGCTGCCACACACCTACAGGACGGGGTGCTCTTAGGGGCAGCCCCACCGGGATTACAGTCGCTAGGGATAAGGTCCTGGGAAAAGGCTCTGGTTTCCCAGACGTCGGGAGGGAGAGATGAGCTGGCAGACAAAAGAACTGCTCCCACCTGGTGCGCCCGTGTCCCAGGAGGGCTGCAGAGCCGTCGGAAAGCGGCCACTGAGCTGTGCGCGCAGCACCGCGTCTGTAGACCGCAGACCGCATTTTGCAAACACTGCTTCCGGTGAGGGTTGATGCCGCAGTGACGGCTGCCGGGCGAGTCTGGCTTCAAAGGTCACTTCAGCCAGTCCTTCTTTATTTTTTTAATCCCTTCGCATCATTTCCCCATCACTGGCTGCAGAAAGCCCAGCAATATTCCCAGAGGTCAGGAACCAGCCGAGGTGGGGCCGCTTCCTCCTCGCTAAGCCTCCTCTGATGTTACAGACAATTGGCCGCGAGAGGAGCTGGGTTCCCATCCTCAGGAAATGCCAAGGAGGGGCTGGAACAAGCCCCATGGCAGCTCTGGTCACGGCAGCTCCTCTGCTCAGGGCTGTAGGATTGCGATGGGGAGGACTTTCATGGGTGTAAACACACGGAAAAGTAACAAGGTTTCAAGATTCATCTCAGTGACTTTTTACATACGTACCCACATGTGTAACCACCACCCAGGTCAAGATAGAAAATATTTCTTGGGGCTTCTTTTGCCCTCATTTTTGTGCAGACACTGCTGTAGTTCCCAGGGGCTCCCACTCCCCCGCGCTGTGCACACAACATCCCCAGGTGACCCCCACAAGGCAGGGGGTACCAGTCCCATCTCACAGGCAAAGAAACTGAACTAGGCTGGGCGAGGTGGCTCACGCCTGTAATCCTAGCACTTTGGGAGGCTGAGGCAGGAGGATCGCTTGAGCCCAGGAGTTTGAGATTAGCCTGGGCAATATAGCAAGACCCCATCTCTACAAAAAAATACAAAAATTAGCCAGGCATGGTAGCGCATGCCTGTAGTTCCAGCTACTCGGAAGGCTGAGGTGGAAGGATTGCTTTAGTCTAGGAGTTCAAGGCTGCAGTGAGCTGTGATTAGGCCACTGCACTCCAGCCTCGGTGACAGTGTGTCTCAAAAACAAAAAAAGACTAACATTAAAAAAACAAAACGAAACAAAGAAAAATGAAACTGAAGCTCAGAGAGAAGTAACACTACCCCCCAAACAACAGCAGCAGCTCCCATGGACTGAGGGCAGCTTTGGGGAAATTCTTGGCCAAAGATCAGAGAAGGTTTTGTCCTCCTTGCCAGGCTCTGGCTTAACTGGTTCATTTCCGTAGACGATGAGGAAAAGATTCCTACCTCGAAGTCACGTACATCAGTCGTAAGAGTTTCCCTACAAAGTCTCTTTTATTTTCAGCTCGGGTAACGGCAGGCAGTGACGCGCTCCTCGCCCAGCCTCCGCTGGTCGGGTTTCCTCCTGTGGTTTCAGAAGCCCAAGCAGGGCAGAGCACTCCCCCTCGCCAAGAAGGACAGCCGGGGGCCTCCCAGGCTGTGTCCGGTCCATGATTCTGGGGGTGGTACAGCCTCCAGACCCCATCCTCATAACTGAGCTTTTCGACATGGAAGGCGGCTACCTCTAGGGGTTCCCCTGAGCTGGGGCGTCCTATTCTCGGACAGAAAGACCAGCACGGGGCAAGCTCGCGCAGCTCAACACACAGCCAGAGATAAAACATGTTTCGGGACGTCTCATACTTTCCACGTCCTGTCCCTGATGGTATGGGTGACCTATCACTCATCTTGTGGGGCTGGGACGACTCGTCCTGGCAGTCCCCGATGCCCTAGAAACATGGAGTCAGTTTATCAAGCACATATTTTGTCCAGACGAAGGAATGCTTGGCACGTGCAAATGGGCCAGAAGCCACCCACCCGCTGCCCCTAGCAGCAGGGCAGGGTTTTCCGAGCATGTCCCTCCTGACAATGTAGGATCATTATGCCTGTTTTGAGGAGGAGGAAACTGAGGCTCAGGGGACCTGCTGTAGGCCAGGTGCTTGGTAATTGTGACTTGGTAATCACAACTGCTGCCGGAGTGACTGACAGCTGCATTTTACAGCTGAGACCGGTTCAGAGAGGGAAGCTGCTTGCCCAAGGCCACAGGGCAGGGCTGGCTTTGCGATTCCAGGCCAGCCGTCCCTTCGATCTCCGACACTGCTGCCCCGGCCAGGTGCTGTCCCTAAGGTCGGGGTCAGTCCCCAGAGGGGAGCAGGCAGGCACCGGAAGCTGATTTTTCCCTCTTCCCCACTGCCCTGGGGCCCCTCCCCGCAAAGCCAAAGTGTCGGCAAAAGGAAACAAGCGAGAACCTGCCTTGGCCAAGTCCCGCCCGGAATCCCGGGAACGGGCAGGACACGGCTCGGGGAGGATTTTGAGGTGCGAGATTCGAAGAATCTTAGGGCGGCAGCTGTGGGTGCTCTCTGTTGAAGAGTCGAGGGGTCTTTCGAGAAGGTCTTGCAGTGAACGATCAAACCATCTGCCTGGAAGTTCTCTCAGAAAAGTAGAGGGATGCTAAGGAAGAGAGTGTGTCGGTTTCCTATCACTGCTGTGGCAACTCACCGCAAAGAAGTGGCTTAAAATGACACAAATTTATTATCTTGCAGTTCTGGAGGAGGGGAGTGTGAGCGGGTCTCCCCGGCTAACGTCAACGCGCCAGCAGGGCTGCGTCCCTCCTGGGGGCCTGGGGAGACGTCGTTTCCTCACTTTTTCCCCCTTCTAGAGCCTGCCCGCGAGTCTCCCTCCTCTTCACAGCCAGCCGGGCATCTTCTCTCCTCTCTGCCCTCTGCCCTGTCCCGACATCTCTCCTAGTCCTGCCTCTGTCTCTGTGTGTTCCCCTAATCTACTGCCTCCCTCTCAGAGGGCTGCCACGACTACCCTGGGCTCAGCCAGGTAACCCAGGACAGCCTCTCCCGTCTCAGGGTCCGTACTAGATCCCATCTGCAGCGTCCCTTTTGCCACATAAAGTCACATATTTGCAGGTTCTAGGGATTGGAATGTGGACATCTTTGGGGGTGGGGCGTTATTGAGCCCACCACAGACAGCAAAGTCCCCTCGGTGCAGGTGTGGCTGTGGCTCCCGTGTCCAGGCTGAGTGTGGGGCAGATGGCTTGGTTCTCAGCCTCTCCCGTCCTGAGCCCCGGAGGTGGGCACAAATCAGTGACATCCATCGTGTGCAGAGGTGCCCAGCCTTGTCACACCCCCTAGGAGGCGGGTCCCGCAGCACAGTTTCATACCATAGACTAGGAAACAAATGTGAAAGTGTCAGAGGATTTGCCAGGGAGGGGTGGTCCAGTGCCGGGGGAGCAGCAGGGACAGCTCCCGGCTGTCTGCTTCTCACAGCATCTGGGGCAGAAGTTGCTCTTCTTCCTCTCCTGAGAAGGGGCTGGCCGGGCGATGGGGCGGGGGAGTGGGCGGGCTCTGACTGCGGACGGGCCTCCCCAGGCTCTCCCCGCCTCCTCCCTGCTCTGCTGCAGGCGCTGCTCTGCTGATCACACCCACAGTTGGGCTACAGCTGAGCCAGAGATGCCTCCCCACCGCCTGGCGATGGACAGCCAGGTACTCCCGGCCTTCCTGCTCTGCAGCACACTGCTGGTCATCAAGATGTACGTGGTGGCCGTCATCACGGGCCAAGTGAGGCTGCGGAAGAAGGTAAGTGCCGCCCCGGGGGCCCCCAGCCCTGGTGTGCTCGCTTCTCTCCCTGCCCTGCCTGGAAAGTCCAGGGACCGGGAAGCGCGGCCAAGGTGTGCACAGCAGGGCTTGCAGCTGGGCGCCTTTCCCAGCCCTTCTGAGCGGCTCCCTGCTGGGCAGGGCTCGAACTTTCTTGTCTTCTGGTTTAAGAGCATTTACTCACTTGCTGTGCCACCAGGATAGACTGTTGGCACCGGGTCTCCCGGAGAAGCAGGTCCTGGAGGGTGGAGCATGGGAGCGTGACAGCACAAAGCCTCCGTTTGACCTGGTGGCTTCCCGGCATGGGAGAGCCGAGGCTTGGGTGGAGTGGAAACCGGTGAAACAGGAGCTCGAGAAACGTTTGAGTGGAAATTCCCACTCCCTGGCCAGTGTCGCCTACAAATCCACTGCAGCCCCCAGAGGCCGGGTCTCAGCCAGGCCCCAGCGGGCTGCTCAGGGAGGAATTTCCCCATCGTGAGTCCCTGAACCAAACAACAATAAAGAGGCTGAGATCTGGGCCAGGGCGAGCGAGCAGGCAGGATGACCCATTCCAGAGGGCTCTGTTGCACGGGACGGCCCTGTGAGTCCACAAAGTTGTGGGCCAAGCTCACGGCTGTCCTGCCAGAAAGCAGAAAGGTCCAGGGTCACCTGCTGATCATCTTCCCAGATATCTGAACAGAGGAACCATTTCTTCCCCTTTGTCCAGTTGGAGGGCCAGGCGAGGCTGGCTCTGGCATCGTGTGTGGGTGGATCCTGGGCAGCGAGGACCTTGCCCACAAGCGAGGCTCAGGCCCTGGTGCAGGTACAGGCAGGATTAAAGGCAGGGCAACTGCCCAGGTGACAGGACTGTGCCCGGAGGCCACGGCATACTGATTGCTTCTGACTTCTCCCCACCTCGCCGGCCCTGGGGTGTGGAAACCAGGGCTAACTGGGTCAGCTGCATCCACTCTTGACTCCTTCCCGTGTGTGGCCGGGAGCTGAGCACTCAGTCCTCACCGCAGCCCCGGGAGAGGAGAAGGAGGAGCCACATTCACCTCATTTTCTAGGTGAGCAGCCTGGGCTCAGAGCGGCGGCATCACCTGTGAAGGTCGCCAGCCGGGTTTGAGTTCAGGTGTCCGGCTCCAGAGCCCACATGCTGCCTAGGGGCCTGGGGTTCTTACCAGCAGGCGCAGGGAGTCCAGGGAAGGCAGCAGGCTCCCTGAGTGCCTTTCTGCCTGATCAGCCTGGAACTGGCAGGAGACCTTCCGTCCCAGGCTGCCCCGAGGTGCTCCTTGCGACCACGTGGCTCCCTCTCGTCTCTGCTCTGGGCACATGGTGCCACCCAGGAAGGACCTGGGGGAGCACACAGTGTGGAGGGGACAGGCACAGGCCATGGCTCCTCCACCCGCCAGCCCTGGGACCTGGCAAGTCTGGGTGCTCAGTGTCCTCTGTGAACTGGGGATGGTGACAGCAGGGCCAGGAGAATCCAACAGGCGGCACAGAGCAAACGCTCCGCCAGCATCAATCCTTATGCCTTGTAGTAGCTGAAATGAACACGAACAGCAGCAGCCATAGCTCGCTTCCCGGGAGTGCATCAGGCCTGGCCCCTCGCCCCAGCTGGAGGTGGCACCTCAGCCTCTGACACCAGGGGCTCTTCTGGTCTTGGCTGCAGCGGGCTCCTGCAGGCTGACTTGTGTATTTGAGTTTTGTCTGCAGGCGTGAGCAACGCGTGGACTGTGTACCTCGAAGCGGGTCCTGGCTGAATGCTGAGGCCCTTTGGAAGGTGTCACGGATCCAGGGACGTGGTGCATGGCCATCAGAGTCGGTGATTCGCTGACTTAAGGGCTGGCCAGTGGAGAGGCATTCTGGTGCAGGGTTCCGATCCCACCCATGACTGCCATCGGGCACAGTCTGTGTTCACCTCTGGGGCGGCAGGGCAGGCCCACCAGGCAGGACAAACCAGCCGTGGGGGCTGGTCATGAGTCAGACGCACAGGGCTTGCATTAAACAAGCCATTTGGAAAACCCGCTGCTGACATTCAGATTCTGCCGTGGGCTGGTTGACTTTGCCTGGATCCCCGCAGAGGACGGGGGGGCGGGCAGGAGCCGTGGGTGTGGGCCTTCGGTGACCGGAGTCTCTGCTTTCCAATCAGAGAAAGTGACAATTCACTGAGTGTCGTCCTCGTGCTGGGTGCTGTGTCAGAGGCTCCTCCAGGACTCTCCCTCGTTTTTTGCACGGTCCGTGAGCTGCCTTTTATCCCGAGTGTACAGATGAGGAAGCTGCAGTCAGAGCAGAGCTGAGTTTCCAGCCTGGGGCTCTCAAGAGCCTTTCCTTGCTTTTAACACACAGTCCAAATTTTTTTTAAGAGACAGGGCGTTGCTCTGTCATCCAGGCTGGAGTGCAGTGGTGCCGTCATAGCTCACCGCAGCCTCGAACTCCAGGACTCAAGTGATCCTCCTGCCTTAGCCTCCCGAGTAGCTGGGGCCACAGATGCACCCCACCACCCTAGGATAATTTTTTTCTTTTTTCACTTAAAAAAAAATTTTTTTTTTTTTGAAACAGCGTCTTGTTCTGTCACCTGGGCTAGAGTGCTATGGCGTCAGCCTAGCTCACAGCAACCTCAAACTCCTAAGCTCAAGCAATCCTCCTGCCTCAGCCTCCTGAGTAGCTGGGACTACAGGCATGCACCACCACGCCCAGCTAATTTCTTTCTACTTTTAGTAGAGATGAGGTCTTGCTCTTGCTCAGGCTGGTCTTGAACTCCTGGGCTCTAGTGACCCCCTCTCTCACCCTTCTGAGTAGCTGGGACTACAGGCGTGTGCCACTGTGCCCAGTTCAAATTCTTAAGGCACCTCTAGGATCTCCCTGACCCCCATAACTTCATCTTGGACCCCCTCCCTTGCTCTCTATGCTCCAGCCATGCTGGTTTTCTGTTCTTCAAACATATCCAGCTTCAGGCCCCAGGGCCTTTGCATGTGCTCTTTCTGCCTGGAATGTTGATGCCCCAGCCCTCCCTTCCTCTGGTTAAGGTCAATGCAGCCTTCAAGCCTCAGCTTTAATGTCACTGCCTCAGAGAAGCCTCCTTTGACCCCAGACTCAGTCAGGTCTCCCATGAACATTCTCAAGGCCAACCCTGTCTTCTTTCTTACCAGGTGACACCACCTGGTCTTCCCTGGTCCACAGGCAATTCCCCCATCAGACTATGAGCTTCACAAGGGCAGGGACAGGGAGCCATTCTCGTAGCGAGGCCCCATGGCACAGAGAAGGAGCTCGTGGCTGCTAGTTGAATGGCCATGGTCATGACAGCACCACTGCCCTGTGAACTCTGTCCAGGGGTGAAACACAGACCAGGCAACCAGGCCACCCATCTCCTGAGCAGTAATTCTCACCCTATGTGTTGCAGGCTTTTGCCAACCCGGAGGATGCCGTGAGACACGGAGGCCTGCAGTACTGCCGGACCGACCCGGACGTGGAGCGCTGCCTCCGGTGAGTGCCGTGGGGCCGCTGGCCGCAGACCTGGCCGCGTCCTGTTCTCTCAGACCTTCTGCTCACTGAGGGCGTGGAGGACTCCCGGGAGCTGAGGTTTCCTGCGTTCCTCATCCCCTTAGACTGTTTTATTCATTGATTTAATTTCTAATTAAATTTAGAAAACTAATGCAAGGTCACGACTCAGAATCACAAAATTAGAAAAGGATATTCCCTAAAAATTCAATCTCCCTCCCACCTCTGACCTCCAGGTATTTCCTGGCTCTACCCTCCAGGGGCAGATGCTGTGACCAGCGCCCTGCCCATCTTGCCAGACAGATCTTCTGCACTTGCAAACACGTGTCGTGCTTTCCCTTTTGCCCCTAAAGAATCACCCTTTACCCCCTGCCTGTGCTCTGCTGTTTCACGTGACGACAGAGGTTGTTTCAGCACAGAGGACCCCTGTTCCCGTGTGGGTGCCGCAGTGTCCGTGCCACTGCCTTGCCGAGTGGGTGGCCCACACCTTACGTAACCGATTCCCCCGACGGGCACGCAGACTGTTCTCGGTCTTTCTCTGTTACGAACAGTGTACATCAACTCCCCTCATTTGCCTTTGTGCGTACGTGTGAGCAAAGCTGCAGGACGCAACCACAGGGTGAGACGCATTGCCACACGTGCCCGTCTCTTGCCCAGCTGGCGCGGGGGCCGTTCCTCCCCGCCCCGGACAGCTCAGTCTGCCGTGATCCTTCTGGGTGGATCCCTGCCAACGTGATATGTGAAAATTCACATCACGTTTCGGTTTCACTTTGCATTTCTTTCATTCCGAGTGAAGTTAAACGTCTTTTCATATGCTTAACATCCCCCGGTCAATTAAAATCAATTTTTCTTACTGGAAAAATCAGAACTACTCATTGCAGACAATTTGGATAATACTGAAAGACAAAAAGGAAAACAACTCACCACTCTAATCACTGTTCCCATTTTCACCTCTCTCCTCTTTTTCTTCTGTGTCTAAATATTTTTTCATACAGTTAGGCATGCATTAGGTATACCCAACTTGGAGTTCTGATTTTTTTTGTTAACATTATTTCATGAGCACTTTTTATGTCAGTAAATATTTCTTAACAGCTGCATAAAATTCCACCAGAGACTAAATGTTAATTTCACATCACCAGTGTCAATATTGGATTTTTGGTGGTTTATGCTCTGCCATGTTCACCAGCAGGCTGGAGGGCGAGAAGGTGACACCCCAGGAGGTGGGGGTCGACCGAGGACAGTGATGGGGAAGCCGGGAGCGGGGAGCCCGACAGGGCGAGACAGGAGACAAACCGTCAACACGCTCCCAGGCGTCACAGCCGGAAATGGGTGGGACGCTGTCATTTAAATAATAGAAATTCTTTTATTGAAAGAAAGTCCGTGGGCTTTTTTCTTATGTTTTTCTTGGCCATTGACAATAATATACACACTGTGGTTTTACAAAATTACAGAGGTGCGTAATGTAGAAAGTGAAATTTCCTGCCATCTGCCCTTCCACATCCTTCCTTTGGAGTCCGTCCGTCCATCCACGTGTCCTTCGATGAGCACCTATTCTGTGCAGGACACAGTGCTGAGCACCAGCTGTACTTTGGGGAACGAAAGCCTTCCCCACTCGTGCCCCATGTTGGTGACCCTTGTCCCTGGTTGTCTCGGCTCTTCTGGACAGCGGGGAAGGACGTGATGAGCCGCTGAGGCCGCGGGACCGCCAGCTCTCGGCAGCCACCGGGAGACCGTGTTTCGGCTCCTCCCGGGCTGCGCGTTCGATGTAGCAGAGCTTTCATGTGGCGCAGGGTAGCCACGTGGGCTCACGAACACTCGGTTTATTTTTACGCGCTGTGACCAGGCCAGGGAGAGACCTATCCACCCACCCGCCCAAATTTTTTCTTCTCAACAGAATGGCCCGTCACCTACAGTACTGATGCTTAAGGGGTTGACATTCAACTCAGCCTGGCTGAGCTGCTCTTACCTTCTAGTGTTTTCTACCCATCGGCGTGGTTTTGAAACCTATTGTATACCGGGCCCGTGCCGGACCTGGGGGGGCCTGGGTCCCTGAGACCCCTCCTTGAGGGTGCAGAGTGAAGGGAATTAACACATCCTGCCGTCTGCTACCGGAGAGCGGGCCGGAACCTGAGTGGGGAGATCCCCTTAAGCGAAAGTCAGTTAAATATTAGACCAGGGTTTATAGCGCGATCGGAGTTGCCCTCTGTCAAGCGGAAAAGCGCTTGGTTCTTGGAGTATAATCTGCCTTGCAGGTTAGCAGGTTAGCACACGCACGAAACGTGAGCCCAGCCCGGGGGGAAGCGGGGCCCGGGTCTGAAGGATGAACCCAGCCACCTTTTCACGATACCGATCCGAATTTCCTGGGAAATGTGTGTTGTGACCCAAACCTGAGGCTGTGTGTCTGCACCTGCAGTGAGGGGCCATCCGTGTAGTCCCAAAGAAGGAAGGCAAACACTTGTCCCGAGCTTTTGTATTTCTGACTATTTGGAGTGTGTAGACTTAAGCTGAGTGAACTGGTTTGTCAGGAAATTGGGTCCCAAAATGTCAGCCCCAAAAGTCCCTTAGACATCACCCAACATGTTCGTTTTGCAGACGGTGAACAGAGGCCCAGACAGAGAGAGAGAGACTGGCCTGGGGCCGTGGCACTGATTGGCACCACGGCCGAACTGGAGACTCTGGCGCCAGCGCCCCTGCCCCCGCACCGTGAAGTGTTGTTTATTAATCTGCCCGGGCATCGGAGGGTGGTCGGGCATCTGGCAAAACCAAGGGGTGAAATTCGCTTTAACAACGTGTCCAGGCCAGGGCTGGTGACGGTGGTGGTGATGATGGTGGTGACGATGATGAAGATGACGGCAGCTAACTTAACATGCACCTACTCAGTGTTGGGGGGTTCTAAGCACTGTCCAGCTGCCAACTCGCTCAGCACTCAGAGGCAGCCGAGGTTCCTGAGGGGTCTGCTCTGCGCGAAGGCGACTTTGCAGTTTTACTCCATCGTGAACTTGCCTTTACGAGTAAGCAGCGCAGATCCCGAATGCAAGGAACCCGCCAGCGGGGCTGGGGGCGGGCAGAAGAGTGGCCAGCAGCTGGCCCTGCCCCGATGCCTGGGGGTACCTGTTGCCACCTGTCACCTGCTGTAGTAAAATGCAGATGGTGTCGTAATGTCTGTTGAGGGTGAGGGGCAGGCCTGAGGCTGCAGGAGGCCGCACAAGTTCAGTCTAGCAGGAATTTGCTTTGGGTGAGTTTTACCTTAAAAAAGTGGTTATTACTGGAATGACGCGTTTTGCCCAAGCATCTCCCTGGTACGTGACTCCCTCCACATCTCCCAATTCAGATCCTGGAGGTCAGAAGGAGGGAGGTGAGTTTTCTTGCATCGTTCCTTGATTTCCCCATTGCTCCCTGTCCCTGGCTCCACTGTGGCCTCGCGGGGGCCTCCCTGTGGCTTCGTGGGAGCCCCACTGTGGTTTGAGACAGAACAGACGGGGGAGGGAGGGCTGGGCCAGCTCTGGGGGCTGCGAGTCAGAGCTTTGGGCTCTTCTAGCCACCGGCCACCTCTCCTCCCACGCTGGCGACCTTGTGTAGCTGCCCAGTTGCTGCAGCAGGAGGTGGGGCTCAGTCCCCGCCGTACGGTTTTGTGCAAGGCCTGCCTCTCCCCACCCTTCGCCCGCTCTCTGGGCTTTGGCCATGTTTGTGTTCTGCCTGTTCTGTGATTCTCTTAACAGCTCTCTAAAAGTTGACTCACTCTTAAAATGTAAACACATACTTTAAGGAGAAATGTCTGGATGAATGGCTTTCACATGCTAGTTATGCTTCTCTTGGAACTTTCAATACATTTTATCAAAATACTCATCCAGGTGGCACCATCTTGTGCGTCACCTGTGGTGGGCAGAACACATCTTCAGACATAACAACTTAATCTAAAATGGGCTTTCCAGCCAGGTGCTGTGGCTCGTGCCTATAATCCCAGCACTTGGAGAGGCTGAGGTAGGAGGATTGCTTGAGGCCAGGAGTTTGAGACCAGCCTGAGCAACATGGTGAGACCCTGTCTCTACAAAAAAACAAAAACTTAGCTAGGCATGGTGGCATGTGCCTGTAGTCCCAGCTACTGGGGAGGCTGAGGCAGGAGGATCGCTTAAGCCCAGGAGTTTGAGGCTGCAGTCAGCCATGATGATGCCACTGCACTCCAGCCTGGGCAACAGAGTAAGACCTTGTTTAAAAAAGAGGGAGGTTCCCAAGATGTCCCTCTAATCTGTGTATGGGGAATATTGGTCCACACAGCTCCATTTCCACAGGATGGGCGGATTTTGGAGGACCACTTGTTGCCTTTTCTGTCATGACTCCCAAGTAAGGTGAGGGACATACCTGACTGGGGTGTTGGAGTGCCCCCCGTCCTTGGTTTCTCCCTCTTCTTCTTCCCTGCACTCAGCACCCTAGGATCCCCCAGGGCCTGCCTCCCTCGGGTGTGGCGCAGTCTTCCCCACAGCTGCTGAGACTTGGCCTGTTGCCAACTCGCGTTCCCTGTGGCTGGTTTGCAACGTCGAGATGCAGGGGAAAAGGAGAAGGAAGGCTCACGCTGGTGTCAGGGTATGGGACACAGATGCCAGGGGCCGTGTCCTGCATTTGGCCTGAGAAAGATCCAGGCCCTGCTGGTTTTATGGGAGTTTTTGTACGCTCAGATTGAATTCCAGTCCTGCTTCCTGAGTCCCCTCTCCCGCTCCTAGTCTGCCTCACTCTCTCTTGCGCACCACACTCTAGCCACAGAGGTAGCTTTTCTGCACCTCAAACACACTATGCTTATTCCTACCTCAGGACCTTTGCACGTGCCAGTCCCGCTCCCTGGAAAGGTTTTCCTCTGCACGGCTGGCTTCTCATCATTCAGGCTTCAGTACAAATGGCTCCCCCCCCAACCATCCCCACCACAGTCACACGACAGAGACCCCTATAGTGTGGAGTTCCCGAGCACGCCAGGCCCCTCCCTGCCCTTCTCACTTTCTCTGGGTCGGGCTGGTACACTGTGGCCCTTGCCAAAGACTCATCTTGCCAGTGGGAGGGAAGAGGAGGACTCCACAGCAGGTCACCACATGGGGACTGGGCTGGGGCTGGCTGCTGCCGCACTGTTGTTGGGGAAATGCATTCTAGCCAGAAGGCCTGGAGAGGGGCTTCTATTCCAGCACAGTCCCCTTGCCTCACACATGTGGCCTGTCCTTGGGGGAGGTCGTGGCCCGGGCACTGGATTCCTGTTTATTTGAACTTCCAACGTGGCCATCTATGGCTTCAGTCGCTCGCTCAGCCTCTAATTTACAAAGTCTTCCCTTTGTGAAGAAAGCTGACCATTAGTAGGAGTCATGGAAAATGTGAACCAACTCCTAGCAGAAGTGGGTGAGCTTTCTTTCTCGGTCATTTATTTATGGCAGGGTTATACACAGCACCTCCCCACCCCCACCACACAGACACACACATTTGATTACTTTAAACAAAAGAAGAGGCTGGAAAGCACGTATGAAATGGGAGCGTCCCAGAGGCTGGTGCTTGGCTCCAGCGGGTGGAAGCTGATCTTGTTATTATTGTCCCTGAAAGGCCGGGTGGCGCTTATGTTTGGGGTAGAACGAGACGGAGCCAGGCGTCGGTTTCAAGTGCGTACTCTTAGGCTTCCGCCCCTTCTGTTGGGGAGGGGTCCCGAAAGCTGCATGCAGGAGCGGCAGCCTCAGGCCTGACTCAGAGAAGCCCTGCCATGGTTCAAATCCCAGCTCCGCCAATCACTGGCTCTGCAAAGCGCTCAAACCTCTGAGCCCCACTTTTCCTGCCTGGTGTCCAAGGGCCTGTGGGGAAGATGGGGAGAGTGGGGCAGGGCCAGTCCCAGCAAGCCCTAGAGCCAGGGTGAGAAAACCGTAAACCCACAGCCCTTTGGGACGCCTGGCCCATTGCTGGGGGCTTGGCTTTGTCAACTGCCTGTGAGCATAGCTTGGAGCTGCTGTCCCTCTGGACTCTGGGGCATCTCTTGTCCTGCCCATGAATGGACTGGAGTGTCTGGTACCCCTGAAACGATCCCCAGTGGGTCTGGGCCCTTCCAGAACAGAGTGCCTGCTTCCATGACATTCTCAGAGGAGTCCATGGCCCCAAGCTAACACCTGGCTGACCACAGCCCCTTGTCTCCCCAGAGCCCACCGGAACGACATGGAGACCATCTACCCCTTCCTCTTCCTGGGCTTCGTCTACTCCTTCCTGGGTCCTAACCCTTTTGTCGCCTGGATGCACTTCCTGATCGTCCTCCTGGGCCGTGTGGTGCACACGGTGGCCTACCTGGGGAAGCTGCGGGCGCCCATCCGCTCCGTGAGCTACACCCTGGCCCAGCTCCCCTGCGCCTCCATGGCCTTGCAGATCCTCTGGGAAGCAGCCCGCCACCTGTGACCAGCAGCCGCGCCGCCATGGCCACCAGACCATGGGCCGAGAGCCACTGTGGCTGTATCTGGGGACTTGGTGTCCGTTCCAGATTGTGATAGGCCCTGGGTCCTGGTTTCCTGGCAACCTGCTGAGTGTGTAGACACCCGGGCCCAGTGGGCCTGTGTGTGCGCATGCGTGTGCACGTGTGTGCGTGTGCGTGCGTGTGTGTACGTGCGTGTTTCTTAGCCCCTTGGATTCCTGCATGAAGTGGTTGACTGGACCCATTCAGAGACAGGCTGCCAAGATCGACAACCCCTCGACTCAGATAACAGAGCGTTGACAACATCACCCCCTCCCTCCGTAAGAGTGGACAGAGAGGGGAGGCTCCATTCAGGGTCCCCAGCCTAAGGACCATCCGGATCCAGGCCAAGAACGCGGACCTCTCAGCCCACCCCGGAGGTCCTGGCCCAGCCATCTGCATCTGACAGAGGCCCCCACACGAGTCCCTGCGATGGCCAGGCCTGGGCACCACGGCCGGTGCCCTCGGAGGTAGGCTCGGGAATAGCCCGCGCTTCTCCCGCGGTGGCGTTGAGCGCGACCAGGGCGGGATCGTGCTGCTGTGTTCCCCCTTGTCGCCTCCCCTGCCCTTTGCTCTGGGTTCCTTTCTGGAGCCTTCTCTCTGGCTCAGGAGCAGATGGGAGGGGACCACAGTAAGGTCGGCCTTCTCCTCCAGGGCTTCAGTCACTGCAAGGGGCTGTCAGTCGAGGACAGTGGCTTTGAATGACCAGTCACTAAAAGGAACTTTCTGGCTCCTTCAGTACCTCTGAAGTTTGAAAGCTGCAAACGTCTGCCTCGTGGGGAATCCGCGTGTGCGTGTGCGTGTGCGTGTGTGAGTGTGTGTGTGAGTGTGTGTGTGTGTGGCCTCTCCTAGACTCACGCGTGATCTTTAGTCATTAAATGGAAGGGCCTGACCAGTCGGCCCACACGGCCTCTTGGGTTGCGTGTTCCCAGTGTCGCCGCTGCCGGCCTGGCCTGGCGCTCCGGCGTGCTGGGCATTTTGCCGGTGTGTGTCTGGGGCGACGCTGGCAGGACACGGCCACCCCCCCGCCCAGTCACGGCCGCCTTTACCAGCCCCCTGCTTGCAGATGAGCACACCGAGGCCAGGGGGCGCACACCTTGCAGGGCAGGGCCACTCCCCAGGCCGGGACTGCCAGACTCCCTGAGCCCCCGTTCTGAACCGCTGTGACTGCCGGGCTGCCTCACCCTCCCCAAACGCCCCTCCCAGCACCCTGAGGCCGGTGCCCTCTGACTGGTGGGACCTGCGTGGGGGGGCCTGGGGGGCTCGGCGACCCCAGGACTCCCTAGAAAGCGAAGCTCAGAGCAGGCAGTGGGGAGCACTGCCCTCTGGTGGTGAGATGGCGCCTCTGTCCTTGGGCCGCCGCTGCCCAGCTGCAAGCAGGAAAGGCACAGTCCAGTATTGAGCACCTGCTGTTTGCTGAGCATTGTGCTGGACACAGAACTTACTTTTCCCCTCACTGAATCCTTAAAACAACCCTAGGAGGGAGGCGCTTCAGCTTTTCAGATGAGGAAAGTAAAGCTCAGAGGGGGGAGTCACTTGCCAGCATCCCTGAGCGAGGGCGCGGCAAGGGAGAGGGAGGAGAAATGGACGCGACGGACGTCTGGATATTTTCCCTCCTGGAGAAGGAGGGCCCTGTGGGCAAACAGCCCTGCTCGGAACCTGCGGGACCGTGAGCTGGGGTGCAGGCGACCTCCTGAGCCTGGGCCTGCGTGAGGGAGGCGGCCCCCTCGGAGCAGAGCTGCAGAGTCGCTGAGCTCCCTGCCCCCGTCACCCGCTCTGCAGCCTCCTGCGCTGCCTGTGAGTCCCAGCCCGCGGGAGGGCCCCAGGACAGCAGACAGTGACGACCCAGGTGCTCAGTGCCCTGATGGGGGAGGTGGGGCAGTGGGAGTGCAAAGGGGCCTCTAACCCCTGCTGGGGGTGCTGCCTGGAAGGTGGAAACTCGCCTGGGTTGGGGGCAGGTCAGACTGGTTTGGGGGAATGTCCAAGCCAGGAAAATCAAGGTGCAAAGATGAGGAGAGCTCAGCCCCTGGGTCTGGAGGCTGGAAGCGGAGGGAAGGAGCGGGAGAGGGAGCGGAGGGGATGGTGGGGAGTTGGGGAGCTGGAGGGTGTGGAGGGGGGTGTGGGGCATGGAGGTGTGGAAAAGAGGTGTGGGGGGAGGTGTAGGGGTGGGTGTGGAGGGGCTCCTTGTCAGGGAGTTGGGGGGTCAGGTAGGGGAGGGCTTGGCATGGTTGGCTCTGTTTCCCGAAGGGACCTCTGAGGCAGCCGTGGGGACAGCAGGGAGGGGCTGGACAGCTGGCCGTGGACACAGTGGGCTATGGCCTGACCCTGGCCCCCCAAGTGGCTTGGACAGTGCCCTCCCTGGCTGCCCGCCCAGGACCCAGGGGACAGGGGCGGGTGTGACCGAGGGCAGGGGGGCGGTGCCCAGGGTGCTGGCAGGAGCCCAGCGAATTTTCCTGGGCGAGGAGGAGGCCTGGGGGCCTACTCTCTCCCGGCCCTGGGGCTGACCCAACGCTCCGGGATGGGAAGGGCGGGGAGAGGCCTCCTGGCTCCACAGAGCACGGCAGACCAGCGAGGCACGGAGGGCGCCTTGCAGCTGAGCGCACCTGCCGACCGACTGGAGGCAGCAGCCACCTCGAGTGAGCGCTGAGTGCAAGTCGGCCCTGGCAGGCGCGGGGGAGGTTTTTCCTGGCCTCGCTGGTCTGCAGCCCACGTTCCTCCCAAGCTCCGCCCTGACGGGCCAACCCCGCAGCTGCCCCCTCCTCCTGACCCTGGAGTCTGGATGTTGGGAAGTCAGGCTTTGGCTGCCTGCGGTCTGGGGGTCTGGCGGGGTAGGAGCTACTGAGCGGCAGCCTGGGGCCCCTAGTGCCACAGCCTGGGGAGGCAGGAGAGGAGGTTTTGGCCTCTGGGGGGCAGTGAATGGTGCTGAGGCCCAGGCCTCGGAGGTTGGTGCTGCCTCTGGTCGGGGCCTGGGGTATGGGGGCATCTTCTCCTGAGCTCTGAGTGTGCAGGGGAGCCTAGGGCTGAGCTGGGGTACACGCAGACGCAAGGGACAGGGAGCAGGGTTGCAACCTGAGGGCCTCTTTTCAAAGTGTGCCGATGTGATCTCATGTTACAGAATCCTTCATCCCCACCCCCAGTACTCGCGCCTTCTTAGGAGGAAGCCCAAGACAGGGGACGGCTGGTGTGCCCTGCCCACCAGGGCTCCCCAATCTCCCATGATGGCCCCCCTGGAACCCCCCTGGTGTGTGAGCAGCTTGGGGGCAACGATGACAGTGGACAGAGGGGCCTGCATTTCAGAGTTCTGGATGCTGGTCTGTGGAGAAGGGACAGAAGCCTGAGCCCCTGGGAGGCAGAGCTCCCTCCCCACAGAGTAGAGCAGATTCTTGGGCCTCTGTGTGTGTCGGGAGGCTACCGCCCTCCGGAAGGGGCACCCAGGCTGGCCAGGGCAGAAGCACCGACGCCTTCTAATTCCAAGTGGGCTGGGCCTCCGGCAGTCACCAAAGAGGCTCGTCCTACGGGGCTGTGCGGAGGGAGGCAGACTTCCTGAGAGAGGTGTTGGGACCATGAAGGTGAATGGGGTTTTAAAAAATTGTTAATTATATGTACTCACAAGTGGTGGTAAATGCCCAAGGTTTAGAAACTACAGAAAGGCTCACAGAAGAAAACAAAAGCTCCAGGCTCCCGCCACGGAGAGGCTGCCCGGGTCAGGCTCTGGCCCCCTGGGACTCGTGTCCATGCACATCGCTGCAGGGTCCCATGTCACTGCTGTAGCCGCCCACCGGAACCCTGCGTTCCCCTGGGCCCCCACAGTATCACTCCCCACCCGGGGGTGGAGGCTCCTGCCACTTCTGTGTGCAAAGCCCTCTGATGGCTTCCGTCCCACTTGGAGGGAGGCCAAGTTCCCGTGAGGCTGGGCAGAACCCCTCTGTCTTCTCTGCCTTCTCCTTCTTTGTCTGTCTCTCCACCGAGAACGTGCCAAAGGGGGACAGAGATTTGGGTTGGTAGCTCCCTGCTGTGCCTGGCTCCTGGCCCGTTAGGTGAAGGAATGGACGTGTGCAGTGAATGTGCATGCATCTGTGTGTGTGTGTGTGTGTGTGTGTGTGTGTGTACACACCATAGAGACAGATTCACAGTCACTCTTATTCCACAACAAAGACACTCAGGGAGGGTTTCTCCATCTCTGCGCAC